AGACTCGTTAGGGGAAGAAAAAAAAAAGAACATACATTTATTACAGACACTAACAACACATAACAGAGTAGGACAGTGAGAAGAATTGCCACATCTTGAGAACACCTTCCCCCCACCCCTCCCTTCTTCCCGGGCTCAGCTCTGCTCCCGATATCTCTACCTCCTCCCCCAGTGGCACAGAGGCAGGGAATGGGGGGTGCAGGACAAAGTCTGATGATCAGAATTCACTTTTTAAGCCTTCAGGTGCTGCTTTTGCTTGGAGATACTATTCTACCAAGATGCTTCGGGGAATCTGCTCATCATTCAGCACAGCAACACCTACCCAAGACAGTTGGAGAAGGTGCAGTGTTTGCTCATCACTCCAGTTAACTACTGTCAACTCCAGGATCAGACTTGAGCCCTGGGGGAATACACCATTCTTTTCAGAAGTTTGAATTTTGCTGAGATTAATGTCCTGGAAAGGCACAAGATACACTAGTGTGCAAACTTTGAAATGCATTGACAAAGTCTTTCCCATTAACTGCCTACTGACCACAGCTTTTTTCTCAGTTGGATATTCCCCAAGAGCAGTCACTATAGACTCATTTCTCAGCTGAGAAAAGTACTGGGGAAGAGGCAAACATTGCCTTTATACCTTCTCTCAATTTCTAGCTTGCAAGCAATCTAAGAGATGGAGTAATCGACGTCAAAATGAAATCTGTAAAATCTTGTCAAGGGCTACTCTGCTGCCCAGGGTAACCACACCAGCACAAACTCCAGCTTGTAAAACACCCTTAGTGAAGAAAGCCGCAATACAAAGAAAGAAGCCCAAAACTTGCCCATAGATTTTTTTTCTTCCCCTTAATGCACTCCTCAATTGTCAACTCATGACAAAATTTAGAGCCTTTCTGCATTATTCTCACAGAACATTTGACCACCAGCAGAGCTGATTTCTGGCCAGTTGCCTCCTTGCTTTTCAGAAGCCTCTCGATTCATTGCTTTGAGTGTGGCAACTGAGAAATGGAATTACTTCCCTGAAAGTTATTTTGCTTTACACTGTTAGTATCTGATAATACTCGCTAACCCTTTCAGCTAAGATTCAATACCACTGAAGCAATTAAAATCTTCAGTGCTCTGAAAATCGCTGCTAAGCATCTACCGAATGAGCCTTAATAAAACTTAGCAGGTAGTGGTTCCACTGAGACAGGGTCAGGAAACAGCTTTACCAAAATGCAACCATAACAGGAGAGCCAAACTACTACCAACTCCGCATTATTTTGTTTTATCATATGTTTTAATATACAAGAACTTCAAACACGTACCTTTAAGAATTCAACTATCATCAAAGGGTTTGCTTTAAGCAGCCCACCCTGGAATTTCTCCTTAAGCATTTCTAAGTTATGAAAAGCAAGAAACATGATTTTCCTGGGACAAACTAGTTCCCACAATGTGACAGAGAAACCAGATACAGTGTTTGGCATTTAGAAGAAAATGTGTAATGAAAGTACTGAAAGACAAAAACACACAAAAATTTAAGCCCTGAAAAAACACCATTCTATTTTTATGAACTACAGACTATGACACCATATCTAAATAGGACTGAAAACACTAAACACTATTCTGTCCATTAAACTATGTCAAGACTATATATTTCAAAGACAAGTTAACAATTTTTTAAAATAGAGAGAAATTAAGAACTTTCTAAAGTGACCTTTGTAGCCTCTGTATTTTTCCGGATTTTTTAAGATAGCATTTTTCAGGATAGCAGCAACCCAAACTCAAAACAGAACTGAACAAAACAGTGGTACAGCCTTCTACTGTCTGTACTTCGAAGAACCGTTTCATACACCCAGAGGAAGAAACTTTCCCTCAAGTGGATAAGAGAGGTTGATCTTTCACAGTTCTCCTAACAGATGTCTCGGCCTTGATGTCCCCTTTCAAGTTTATTCTTTTCTAAATCAAGACACTGAGGTCTCTTGTGGACATATGGTGTAGGGACATTACAGACGCTATTTCTCTTTGCAAATGCACTAGGATCTCCTGACCTCAGGTCGTACTGGCAAGTTACCATCTGCCTATTCCTGTCAGATGATCAAAAAGGAGCATTTCTGGGTGTTCTGCTACATCAAAACACCAAAGGTAGTTAGAATACTGGACAGCTTGCAGTTACTGCTCCCACTGTATCTCACCTGACCTTGAAACTTTGTCCAAAGTAGTAAAAGCAGCAAGCAAATCAGGGGTAGAGGGGTGGTTGTATCACAGGATTGAAAGCATGGCTTGGAAAAATCTGGCAGTGGATTTATCATCAGAAGGCCATGTTAGCCCTTACATTCTCTAACCTTCCCTTAATTACCTTGAGTTTCCTCAGTGCATAAACACTGTAATGGAAATGAAAAGAAATAACATCTATGTAACTCAAAACAGTAGTACATACATGGGAACTCTGTGTCTTTGCTGAACAGTGCACGGGATTTCTTGGGCCCTTCTAGAAACACAGAATGAGAAAAAGTTTGAAAGCAAAGCCCAGTTCAAACGAAAGTGAATCAAAACTTTTTCACTAAGCAGACTGTGTTCTCAGACACAGCAGATACTCCAGTTTTTATTTATACAAAGATTAGAGATGCAATTTTGTTTTGTTCACAGGTAAACTTCCTTGAGAGGACAAAACTGTTGAAGCGGCATTGTCAAAATCCCATTCTCCAGCTTAAGATAGCGGCCAGTAGAGTGTCTTCTCAAAGCACATTAGAATTTAAAAAGCATTGCGCAAAAGCGAGGAGTACTCCAAAAAGTTTCAGTGAAACAGTTAATTTCTGCACCTCGCTTTTGTCAAGATGCTTTCAGTTTACAATTTCTTCCTTTTTTTTTTTTTTAAGAAAAAAAAAAAAATCAACATTTGAAACAGTCACTAAACCTACCTCTGAATCCTACTGAGGTGTTCATCTGGCTTCTTTCCTGAGATTCTCAGTCCCCTATTAATTTGCTGAAGACCAGCAAGTGAGAGGGCTGCTGTACCCCTAACTTGGCCACTTTCAGCCTCCAGCACTTAAATCCATCACAGCATAAAATGAAGGCTTAACCAGCTATGAGAAACCACTAACCAAAAATGATGTAAATACACTAAGCAAATTAACAAGAAATTGTTTTATTCCAATCAGTTTTCACAACAGCAGTATCCACAAACTTTCCAAAAGAAGTCTTTCTTTTCCCCCTGAGTAGCAGAGTCCCTTTTGTAAAAATAATTAAAGAACACTTGTCACTGATCACAGCATCACCATCAGCTGTGGTCAGTCTATACCTATGAAACAGACAACTGGAAAAGGACAAAACACTTTCCCAGACGTAAACCAGAACATACCTAAGGCAGAAATGAGAAACATGTACAGTGTTACAAGTTACTACCTTGTATTTCACATTTAGCTGTACAATAACCTCTCCCCAGGTTTCAAGCAATCTGACCCAAGTATTTTCTTAATAAACAATCACAGAAGATTTGCATTAAGAAGCAAGGGAGATAAAAGACCTGCATAAGGTACAATATCTCTGTATCTGCACCATGCTCTTGAATAAATCCATATTGCATCTATCTCTGCAAATCAAAATTAAACCAAAAAAAATACCAATAGAAACCTCTTACCATGTTCAACGAAGACGTTACAGTGTGGGCCCCCATGCCTTGATGACTCCTTCTTCCCTGCTCCTTTGATAAAGTGCAGGGCAGGCAGACTTGGCCTCCTTTGGTCCCCAAGAACTTTTCCAGGCTGCTGCCCCATAAAGTAACGATGGGCAGCCTTTCCCAGGATGAGAAGTTTTTGAAGAAGTCTGTGATCCCTATCTTCCAGGTTGGGAAGGAGCTTTGAAGAAAGATGTATTTTAGGTGGTGCGTTGGTTGCACTCACTGTGTGATACAAGTCACTTGAGGCAAAGAATTAAGACAAGCGCAGATTCATCCAATGCTTCTGAAGATGGCAACAAGGCTTCTTAGGTGACTTTATGCAAAAAAAAAAAAAAAAAAAAAAAAAGTCAAAGTTCCAACTGCTTAGTAATGACCAAGCGTTACCAAAATTCCAGGTTGCCGTATGTACTGTGTCTTCCACCGAGTAAAGAATTAGTTCATCTCACAAGCAAGAAACCCCATGCAGGCTCACCCAGGGCAGGAAACAGCCATTCCCACTGCAACCAGTGTCAAGGTTTCTTTTTTTTTTTCCTCCTTTTCTTTTGCATAGCATTGAGTTAGCAAAGGCCAAAGAGCCACGTATTGGGCTTCAAGTATCGCTGTCGTCTAGCAGGATCGAGCGCGCTGAAACCATGTCAGCTGGCAGGGCGAAGCAGCGGCCGCCCAGGGCCTGGCAGGCCCCACACGCTCCTTGGGGGCGAGGGAAGGGGACGGGGGGGGCTCCTGCCTCACAACGCCTCGCCTCCTTCCATCGCAAGCCTCGGGCCGCCCGCACCGCCGCTACCTCTCCCGCACACCGGCGGAGGCGAAGCGGGCCAGGGGGGCCATGGTGGCCTCGAAGCAACGCTGTGGCCGGTGCAGGCGGCCGCCCTCCCGGCCTGCCGCCCGCCTCAGGCGGAGCCGGGTGCCGGGGACGGTGTGCCAGGCCGGGGACGCGCTCCGGGAGGCCGGTTCCTGCACGGCAGCCGGAGGAGGTCAAGCGGGGGTGACCGCGCCGGCTGCATCCCCGCAGGGGAGGCCGGCGGCGGGCGAGGCCCGGGCGGGCAGCGGAGCGGCGGAGGGGGCCGGGCGGGGGGCGGCGGGGCCGGGCGGCCGCACGCCCTGGGGGGGCCCCGCCAGGCCTGGCAGGAGGAAGGGGACGAAGGGCGGCAGGGTTTGGGGGGGGGGGGGGTACCCCGGGGGAAGCCGCGGTGCCGGAGCGAGACTGGCGGGGGGGGGGGGGGGGGGGGGGGGGGGGGGGGGGGCAGGCGGCGAGGGAGATCCCGGAACCCCCGGCGCGGCGCAGCCCCGTCCCCGGCCGGCGGGGCGGGCGGTCACATCCCCTTCCGGCCCCTCCTCCTCCCCCGCCCCCGCCTCCCGCCCGGCACGGCCGCTGCCCGCTCCCGCCGCCATGACGGGGCAGCGTGGGGCGGTAAGGGGAGCCGGGGCAGCCCCGGAGGAGATGGGGGGGGGGGAGGGAACCTCTGAGAGGAAGGAGGGGCCTGGTGAGGGGGAAGCCAGGGGGAGGCATCCCGTGAGGGGGAACGGGGGGGCTGAAAGGTGTGAAGGTGCCCCCAGAGCGAAGCCATGAGGTAAATGGGGGTGCTGTGAAGGGGTCTGAGGGGAAGAGGAGGTGGATGGAGAGGGCACGAAGGGAAATACGAGGGAAATTGAAGGGGAGGGATGAGTGGAGCATGGTGGAAATGGCAGGCAGAAGAGGGAGTTGCTGGTATCACAACGTAGGCAAACACTAGCCAAGGACCAGTAAACCTCACATTCCATCTCTTACCCCCTTTGCAAGTGCCATCCAGGTTGTTTTCGCCTAGATCTGAAAATGAGAGCCAGCTAGAGACCCACTCCTGCGCTCAGGTCTGAGGCCCCTGGAGAGCTCTGCACCTTGGACTTCTTGCAGAGATGGACAGGGAAGAAGAGATCATTCCTGGGTCGGCTGTGTGCACAACCATTAGCTTTTCACAACCAGCAATCGGGCACCCTGCTTGCACAAAGGACTTCACTTCCTTATTAATGCTGTCAGAGCATATGCAAAACTTGATACCAAAAACAGCCACAGAGGCCAGCGAGTGCGACAACAAAACAAGTATTTTATTGGTCTACTTTGATGCACCATTTAGTACAGAGATGAAGTTAAAGCCCCAAATTCTTCAGCCCGCACTGTGGTGCCCTTTGATGTGCAGCATGAGGATTCCCCGAGCTAAAGAGTGTGGATGGTGACGCTGAAGATATTTTCTCATACGTTCTCCAGTTCACCTTGGGAATAGAAGAGGGTTGAGGCAGCAGCTTGAGGTCAGGGTGTTCTGGTCAAAGGTCTGTGGTTATTCCCACTCAACAACAGGAGAACACACAAATGCAATTTTGTGCAGTAGCCTCCTGCTCAGGGTAACCATCTGGACACAGAGCAGCTTGTTTGTACTGACTCCTCCCTTGTGACAAATCCAAACATACTCCATGTCTCCTACGCCATATTCAAGGTCCCTGGCAGATGTGTATTTTTCATCTTCCAACAATAGCATCTGAAATGTAGCACTTCATAGAGTCCTACAGGATCCTCCACCTCTGCTGTGCCAGTCTGTTCCTACATCATTAATTCTTAGCCAGGAGACTGATCTGAAACCATTTCTATTACATTTTTCCATCAGTGACTCAAATTGCAGGTACTGAGGCTGTTTGTGCTACACACACACAGGAGAAAGAAATTCTGGTACCATATGCTGCAACAAATCCAGGGTCACATCTCTCGAACTCAGCAGAATTTCTCCAGGTTAATCTCAGTAATGGAGATCAGCTCCTCATGGTGGTGATCTAGCCTGCCACTCAGCTCCCACATTTTGAAGGAAACCGAGGAAACAAATCTGTCTGTCAACACAGACTGAGCAGCCTGAGATAAATTTGTTACAAAAAAACCCCAATACCAACCATCCTTTACTGAAAAAAAGTTATTCCCTTCTGGGTCTGACTGGAGCATCCTGGATAATCTCTCCTACCATGGCAGGACTGAAACAGAGTGAACTCCAGAAGGCCCATGATACTCAGACGACCTTGACCAAAATATGCAAAGGTAATTGCAAATAAGCAGGACTTTTGTTCTGGGGAATTCAGGCTGTATATATGCTTCTCCCTGCCTCACCTGAGATCTATGAAGATGAACATACTTAGTTTTTCTTTAATACACTAGGTGAATTTATCATTCAGGTCAACAGTCAGCTATTCCTCCTCATGCTTTACAATCATCAGCAGCAAAGTGGGGCAGGTTCTTTGCCAGCAGTCCCCGACCTCTTTCCACTCAGCAGTTGCTCCAAAAGCAATTCCCATTTGCCAAAGCAGTGCTATAGTCAATCTGGGGCTATACACTGGCAGACGGGCCAGCTGGTTGCTCCCAAATACCATAGTAAGGTATCTGCCCTCTTTTCCTTCCTGAAGGTATATTTTCTGTCCCCTACCTTGATGGCACTTCTTGTGAACGTGATTGTCTCATGTCAACAAATCTGAAGTTGCCTAGGGAGTTCAGAAACTATTAGAGAAGACAGAGGAAGAAAGATTGTGTAAATGCAGAATAAATTTCAAAACCTACAGACTGTTTCTTTCAATTAAGTCTTAAATGTGGCCTGTGTACATCCCATATATTTCATAAAAGAAATTTCAATACTTTTTCTGTTTACTTTCAATTAAGTGTGGGTTGTTACACCCACAGCTGCAGTGATGTTTCCTCCATAACAGTGTCTTAAAGCTTCAATCTCTTTACCAAATAATAAACCTTAGCATATTAATTAGCGGTCCTCAGGAACCTGAAACAAGCATTTCAAGACTGCCTATAATCTCAGTGGGGTTTCAGGATCTTCTAGGGTCTGCTCAAAGCTTTGTATTTATGCCATTCACCTCAACTGAACAGCAAAACTGCACGCAGATGATACAGAAGTAACATAATAAGCAGCAGTAATTGGATTAATAACCCATTAGCACAAATTTAAAATCCCAATGGTTATTACTGGGAGTAAAGGGAGGGGTTGCCATTCTTCATGTTAGAACATGAATCAAACACTGCCACCAAGAAACAGGAAAATGATTTCTACAGACGAGTGATTTTGTGTTCTTGTTTCTGCAGGCAGCACTCACCAACAAGGGAACTACTTACTAGCTCCACTTCCAAGCGCATCTGTGCCATGTATTAACCCTGGAGTAAGCAGCACAGGCAGGTGCTACAACTGCTTTAGAAACAGGCCCCGTGCCATCAGAGGCTGGTGACCAAAGAAGTCTGACTGGTCTAAGCTGTTTTAATGCCTGCATGGGCATTTTAGTTCCGCATATAAAAATGAACTCTTAATAGTTTTTTCCCACCCTGCTTTCAACGATGGTTTTGTTCTTAAACCAGAGAAGCCATAGGTTTTTTTTTTCTTTTTCACCCTTCCTGCTTAGAAGTTGCCTAGCAAAATCCCACAGACTATTTCAAGAATTCAAGAGGACACTGCTTTTGCTGGAGCTCTCCTTCACATCTCGAGCACACCCTGGCTCAAAGGCATTTTTTATATAGCCTGCCCATACTCCTGTGCAGACCTGCCTATGGAAAAAGGGGCCCCAGCTCCCCCACCTACCCGCGATGCCAGAGCCTCCCCCAGACCCCGTCTGACTCCTCACTCATCTCTGCCGGCCGCTGGGGAAGAGTCATTTGCCATATTGTGGGTCATGACTGAACAGTGATACCTGAAGCCTCTCCATATGGAAACCGTCAGCCCCAGCAGCACATCCAGTTGCCTTCGAGATGGATGAGCACTGGTGGCCCTTGACATTCATCAGGAGAGCAGAAAGTCACAGGGATTCAGCCGAATCAAACAGCAAATGGCAGCTGGCCTGGTACCTTTCGTAGATACTTTTGAAACTGCTCAGGAAGTTTTTTCCTTCCCCACACAAGTTTGTCACTCCCCTCTCTTGTTACCTGCTGGATTGCAGAGCTGTGCTTGATGGGGTTGCAGGAACTGCCAGCAATGCCCTCGCTGTAGCCTTGTTAGAGAATTTAGGTCTGGGCTCGGCAAAGCACTGGCTGAATTCACGAAGAACAGCAATGACCCCTCGTGGCCAGGGAGGAAAATGCCGGGACCTTCAGTTGCCCCCACACATCAGAAAAGATCAGTAACCAAACCTTACCAGCTAGTGCTCTTGTTCTCAGGCTTAAAAACAGAAGTGCCAGGTATTCGGGAGCACGGGAACTGGGTGAGTCACACACTCTTCCCCCATTTAATACATCCCCAAGGCCAAAGTATCAGGAATGCTGCAGCAAGCAGGAGGAATTGGAAAGCTCAGAGCTGAAGCAGTCCAGATCTTGAGCTCACTGTCTTTCAGGCTGTATACTCATTTATTGAGCATAAATAACAAAAAAGGTTCACAATGGGGAGAGAGGGCTAGCGTAAGAACCCTGGAAATAGACCACAGTTTTAAAGACTGCTAGGTAGAGGGGGAGGGAAAAAAAAAAAAAAAAAAAAAAAGAGGAAAAAGAAAAAAAAAATTATATAACAACTCAGCTGTGCAGCCCACACAGCCTGCTGCAGAGACACCAGCACCTTTTTCCTAAGATCTGTGTTATGAGACCCTGGCACTGTCTCACCTTGCAGGTCTGACAGCTCACACAACTCTACATTAACCACCTCCAGAGCATGCTTCCTCAGCACGTTTCCACCACAGTACTAACAGCATTTTCAAGAGCCTCATAACACCCCCCAACCCCTTTCTGACTTGCTAGACACCTGCAGAGAGGTGGCCTGAGGACAGAGAAACATTTTGCATTCGTGTACCAGTTCAGCAGAACCATTTCCAGATATCAAATCTCTCTAGGTGGTAGCGAAGTACAGGCTCTTCGCACCTTTGCCCTTTAAGGACAGAGTTCTTTAAATTGAAGGGACAGAGATGCAAAGAGATCTAATGGATTAACTACAGACCTCTCCATCAGCGTTGAAAAATGCTTTAAAAAAAGGGAAGACTAGGTATTTTATCTCACTGCCTGCATATCCCTATCTGCTTATACCTAGAAGCCTCACAGCAGAAATCCCCAAATCTCCCCATATGGTAATAAGATAAACAGCTTCTAAACTGCAGCAATTGGGTAGGGAAAAAAAGAGGTACTTTTCCAATTAAAAGATGCAGCCTGCTAAAGCTTTTAGCCTTTTGGCACTGTTGCTGTCCACACAGACATGGATAATGCTGCTACCAGCCTGATGTACACACCTGAAAGTGTCACCATCAAGCTTTAGTTTTCAAATTTCCTAAGTCATCTTGAGGATGTGATTGTTGCAACACTTACTAGGGAATCCTCATAAACCTCAAAAATAACAATTCCCGGGTTTTGCGTGGAGCATTCCACCAATATCCCCAAGAAGTTCAGTACTATTTTGCAGAGGCAGAACAGATGACCAATGTCCTTGCTTGCCCTTAGCCACTGAGCTCCATAATGCTCTAGTATTTAGGTAGCAGCATTGGTGGCAACCGTCCAGCCTTTGCTATTTGGCAGGGCAATGAGGCAGAGCTGTTGGGGAAGGTAAATACTACCAACATGATCTGAAGCTGCCACCTAGTGCTGCTTCTGAACAGAGGCACAGCAGTCTGTGCCAGATGAGAAGCAAGGAAGGGCGTTTCTAGTTCCCAGGAAAAGATTGAGCAAGGAGTTTTTCCTTTTGCCTGGGACAAGCATGAGAATTTGCAAGACTAGAATTAGAGTCAGGGACAATTAGGACAGACATTTTGCCTTTTCATCCTTTTACGAATTACAGCACTGTGGTGCAAGCCGCTCTAATAAAATACAAACACAACGTACCTACACAATACACGTATAATAAACAGCTGTAGTACAGCACCAGAGATCTGAGGATGTTCTAAGGAAAGCATCACATCCATTCTGTATAGAGAAGGGAAGCGACTGCCAATGCCTAGCTCAGCATGCCCATGTGTAACCACTGGCCTGAGGATCTTCACCAGTGTCATACTGGGCTCCCTGTCATCGCTGCTGCACGACTCACCTCACCATGGGATCCTGCAGTGAAGCAATGTTGAGAGCAACACTGTGGAGAGCAACACTGTGAACATCACCAGGCAATGTACTTACAGAGGTACCCTGCACAGAAAATACACTAAAGAAGGTCAAGTCCTGCTTGAATGGGATGAGGAGCAGCAGCTCAAGAGGAGGTAACGGGGCACTGCAGCTATTCTGAGTGTCCTGGCACATGGGAACTTGAGCCAACCATAACTCTCAAGCTAGTCCAAGTTCATTCTGGAGAAAGACAAGCTAATGCACACACTCCTGAATGACTGATCAATTTCAAAAAATTTATTGAAATGTAAAATATTTAATAGAAAACAATACTGGAGCCTCTTCAGAGCAGCTCACCACATCAGGCATAAAAAAAAGAGACCAACAGGATGCACAGACTGAGAAGGCACTGCTTGCCCATGGCTCCTGGCTCATGTGGACAGCCACATCATGCCATATCCAGTCTCACACCATTGAGGCACAGAAGCCATGAACAGCCAGACCCCAAATGTGGTTAGCAAGGGTGTGGATACTCCTGTCCTCTTAAGACCAGTATGTGATCTGAAGTCTTAATGAGAAAAACAAGCGCTCCCAGTCAGAGGACTGACTGGCAGATCTACATCACAGTAAAGGAAAAATCAAAACCATTTAGAAAGACTTAGGGGAGAGAAGCACCACGAAACACATTCCTTCCTCTCCATCATTTTGCACAAAGTTCAGGGGCACTAGACACAGCAACAAGTACTATGAGATATTACCAGGTGCATCTACATCTTCATAAAGGTCAGATATCAATTTTTCAGGCTGCTGCACTAAAAGGCTATTGTATTTAAGTACTATTTAGTACTATTGTACTAAAAGGGCTCAGGAGGTTTCCTGGGTGTTAAAATGAGGAATTTTGGTGGTTTCTGAAGTGTGGAATGAATGCTGGGGAGAAGAACACTGAAAATAAATAATAGTGAAAATCAAAAGCTGCCATGCTGGGACTTCAAATGACTGCATCTGGCCATGTGCCCTATCCTTCCAGATCCAGCAACCTCTGTCGGGTTTCCAGAACGATCTCCTCCATCACCTCTGGTTTGAGAATGTCCTTGATCTAGAGTGGGAAGAAGAATAACATTGGCACCAAAAAGCAACTACTACTATGGCACACTCTGTGGGAACAAGGGTCCCTGGCACATAGCAATGAGCAGCAAGTGTGTTTAGAGGGTTGTGGTCAAACAAGACTATCATGGCAGAGAGTCCAAGGCAAAGTCAGAGTTAGCAATTCTTATACAGAGACCATAAGAAATCAAAGAAGCTGCTACTGACAACTCCTAATCTCTCCTGAAGGACACACACCAGTATTTGGGAAGGGGAGAGGTGACTTAAACAGAAGTATAGTTCAAAAGAATATCCCATCTAGATGAGTAGGCTGCCGCTGTGAATGAAAGCAGAAGACAATTCAGATCTTATCCATTTACGAGAAGAGAATTGCCAGGGATCGTGTTGACAGAAATCACAGAGAAAAGCTGTACAGCAAGAGGTCAAATTGAGGGAGCCTTCCAGCAGTGCAGGATGTGGATACAAACAGAAGACCAGTCTCTGCACAGTATGTGACACTTGCATTTCCATTTGTTCTTAAAGTGCACCGTACCCTCACAGAACCCCAGATTTAACACTGTCCTCACAGGGATCACAGAGCATCCATAATCCCAGCAAGGGATACAACTCTATCAAAAAACGGAACTATTTCTCTATAGGAATAGTTGGACTTTGACAGAGGAAGAACCCTTCAAACTATGCCTGAAAATGTGCAAGGCGATTTATGTAATGCAGGAGGGGGGAGGTTCCTATTTTCATTGAACTACAGGATGCTTTGGAAAACCAAAAGGAAGCCCTAGCACCTAACTTACTGACTTCAGCAGCAACTGATGTGGCCTTTCCACGCCCTCCCCACAGCGTGGAATAAAGTAAACAACACTGGTTTCTGTACCTGATGAGGAAGGGATGCTTCATAGCAATACAGGATGCTGGTGTCAAAGAGCATCAACTTCTGAGTAACCAGAGCCACAATGCAGTTTCGGAGCCGTGAGATTACCTCCCGGTCAGACATGGGAACTGGCTGAGGAAGGACAAAGGAAAAGAGATGAACACACAGGGAAATAATGCAAGTCTACTGTCAGAAAGCTTTGCCGTGAACGTAACACCAAATGCTGAAAATCTCAGGTTATTCATGTGCCTCTGACTATGTTAGACTAACAAAACATCACGGGTACAAGAAGGTTCATCTTCCCTGAACCCTCACCTCCAGGTTGGTGGTGAAGCCCCCTGCTTCTTCATCTTTCTGCTCTGGAGTTGGGTAGATCCAGATGAAACCATTGTTGCCGAGGATCACGGATGCACCACAGGGCAAGTCGTGGAAGTGAGTCTTCTGGCGTTTCACAAAGGAGGGAGAGACCTGAACGAGCACACCCTGGCCAAGCTGAAGGAAAACACGAGACTCAGCATTAGAGACAAGAGCCACAATACACAACATCAAGTCACTGACATGCGCTCTAGGAACCGGACAATTTTAAACACTTTTTCCCGTGAAACAGTGAATATAAAACCTGACTGCCTCTGGGAGTGCTGGGAGGATTAGATAATGCCTGTGCAGTCCTTTGAAGATGAAAAATACTCTAAGTGCTTAGCACAAATGTTAATAATATCTCGATCGTAACTACACATCAACCATCCCTGCAGAAAAATGAGGATCGAGAGACCAAATTTAGCAGAACACTTTCCCTCTTAATCCAGTCACTGTCCTTCACCCTTTGTGCAATAAACCCACTTTGCTTTCATCTTTTAAGTGCTAATACCCTTGGTCTGGTAATCCCAAACTGCAGCCTACGCTCCAACAGTCCTTTGGCTTATTTCAATGCACAAAACCATAAATAAATGCCAACAGTGTAAAGCCTAAAATAGAGCCCTGGAGAGAGAAACAAGTCACAAGGGCAATGGCCTGAAGAAGAGGTGTGATGAAGTTTGAGTCAGATTTTTCTCCCCAGGGTTTAATTCACAAACGGATAGTGGGGGAAACAGGACTCACAGGCTGTAATTGTGAACAGGGCAAGCAGCAGCTCAAAGGGCAGCTCAAGGGCACTCCCTCAGCTTTGGGGAAACTCTGCTCAGAGCTCCCACGTACGAGCTGAGATTCTTCCTAACCTGAAGGAATGGGTTATAACGATATCCTGCTCTATTCCAGGGCTTTCTTCTTAAAGATCCCTCCAAAAGTCCTTATACAAGTCAACTGGAGCAGAATTAGGCCAAGACTGTGTGCTTTTGAACAACTTACCTTCCCGTATTTCAGACTCCGAGTGTGCAGTGACACAGCCCCATCAGAAAACACAGACTGGACCTCTGCCTGTCAGTGCCTCTTAAGGAAACAAGATCCTTAATGCTGCCCGGTGCCAACAGCCGCTGGCTGCTCCTGGCAGAGAGCTCTCACTGTCAGCCAGGCTAGCCGAGCTCTGCCTGTTCTCCCCGTACCCCTCGGCTCTTCTCTCTGAGCGCAAGTAGTAGAAGGATACACTGATGAGGTCACCTTCCTGCAGATAATCCCTCATTGCAAGCTCATCTTCTGCTGATCTCCTTCTCTGAAATGCACAATGCATGAGAAGTTGTGTATAGCTCAGCCTGAGAAAACATCAGTTCATATCTATATTGTGGGGGGATGTTAGGATGCCATGCAAAACGCAAGCTGGTCACCAAAGGAAAATCAGGCCAACTAGCACATCTCTAGATCACTGATGTGTTTCTGTCCAAATAGGAGAGTTAGCGATACCAGAACACTACACACCCACCCACAAACCCCAACACTACCCTCGTGCTAACCGTGGGATGGGCTCCAGAGCTTCCCAGCACCTCAGCTTCTGCCACAGAAGCAGAAAACAACAGGGCTCTGGCACCGCTCTGCATGAACTACTCACCAGTTCCCCACCAGGTAAATTCATAGATGACAGCAGCAAGACTGAATCTAGCCTGGAATTTGTTTCCACTTTCCATCGCTTCTGCTGAACCTGGGGAAGAAAAATGATCTGTTGGTAGATGCTCAAATACTGAAGAGAAGATCTTCAGCAGAGCGGCAGATCCTGCGGCCAGCTGAGCCCGCAGGAGACAGCTCGGCTCACTACTTCAGCCTCATCTTGTTTAAACCCTCCTCCCCCTCCACGGTGCGTCTCGAAACCCCGGCGTTACCTCCGTGATCCTCCCGACCACGATATCGCCGACCTCGCCGTTGTACCTGGGAGCAGGGCAGAGAGAGCAGCCCGTCAATCCCCTCGCACACTCCCGCGGCGAGGCCCGGCGGGCCGCCAGCCCCCTCAGGGCAGGGACGGCGGGCTCCCCGCTCCCAGGCTCACCTGGTCTTCAGCGCTTTGACACACACCAGCTTGTTCACCCTCTCCACGGCGCCGGCCACCGAGGCGATGAGCTTCTCATCCTCCACGTAGGTGCCGTGGCCCCTGCGGAGAGAGCGGGGCTGCCTGAGCAGAGCCCGAGGCCGGCCCACCCGCCTGCACCGCCTCCCCCCCCCCCCCCCCCCCCGCCGCTGTCCGCACCTCATGTAGCCCGTGTCCGTGGTGATCGTGTCCCCCGGCGCCACCAGATGCTTCTCGCCGCCCGGGACCGGGCCCAGCCCCGCCGCCTTCCGAGCCACCGGCAGCCTCATAGTCACCGCCGCCATCTTGGGTGCGGGCGGCGCGGCGGCTGCGCCCCCGGCCCCACGTGGCTTCCGCCCGCCATCTTAGCTGCTGGCGATAAGGCGGCTGAGGCGCAGGCGCCGCCCACTGCAGTGAGGGCGGCCGTGAGGCGTCCGGGCAGCCATTATTGTTCCTGGCAGGATAGGGCGTCGTGGGCTTCGCTGCGTTGAGAACCAAAGAAAGAGCGGAGCCATGTTTAGTGAGGGCAGGGTGAAGGCAGCCCCACAGACGGGGCCCACCCCGCAGCTGAAGGGCAGCAATTTGGGCGAAGGTTTTCCCTGGAGGGAAGCAGCACCTCCAGTGTCTGGAAGGGGGGGTGCCCGTGCGCTTCTGTGCGCACACAAGTTGTTTGCCCCGGGGTCTGAAATTCTCGCGGCGGGGAGGCAGAAGGGAGCTGGGCGAGGCCCCGAGGGGCCTGTTCCCCCACGTTGGGTGGGCCAGGGGATTTCAGCCGCTGCAGGAAGGTGTGCGCCGTGTCAGCGCTCAGCCTTGGCTTAAACATTTCCAAGGGACGAGGAATTTTCCCCTTCCCCGTGTCAAAGTGGTTTCAAGGGTAAACAGTATGGTTGTGTGGGAGTTTTGTTCATTTCATTCAAGCAGCAGTTAGGCTCTCAGAGCTGCTGAGAAAATACCAGGGAAAAAGAAACCAGCGATGACCTTCAGGGAATGCTTTGCTCCCTCCAGACCGAAATCAGAAGTTATTATTTCAAGCAACACTTGCATCTATAGCACAGCTGAAATATGACCGTTATTTTATGGGAGATACCAAAGGATATCAACAGCTGTTGCTTCAAATAGAGACTGTGCACATGGAGACACGGAGGTACCAGACCAAATACCACCCGCTCCTGCACTGTGAACTCACCCCTTCTTTTTCAGACCAGCAAAAGGGCTTGTTTTTCCCCAGATCTGATCCTTCCCAACTGCACTATTTGCTCCAACAGACAACGATACAATCTCCTTGTTCACCTATTATTCTGCTAGTTGAAGCCTTCACTCATCCCAACTACTACATCCTTTTCCTGGCACATAACAAAATAAAGCTCTCCATACTATCCATCTTCTAAATGATAAATGTTCCAAGTAATTTTTATTTAGAATACAAGAGAGAGATACAAATGTATTTACACTGTGTACATATACAATCAAATAATATATAATATCAAAGTTTTGTAAATAATGTTTACATAAATATTTACAAAGTTAAAGTGACAGTTGTTTGTTTTTGTTTTGCTTTTTTTTTTCTTTTCCTGGAAGTAAAACACAGTTTGTGAGAACTTTATACATCTTAGACTTATAATTAATATTAGAATACCTTCTTTTAAGCTTTATGATACACAGCCCTCCTCTCACGTGTGGCAGGACTCCAGAGGGCGCTTAGAGTTGTCCTTGGGGACAGAGCTGGCCCGGGGATGGGTTTCTCTGTCCCCAGAGGGCACTAGAAGTAACAGCTGAAATGTTTCTTCCCAGCTGCGGGATGCGATGGGGAATGATGGGGAGCGATGGAAAGCGATGCTCCCCGGGGCTGGAGCAGGGACAGCCTGGCAGAGCACAGGGTCTCCTGCCAAACCTGCCCCTGGATGGGTATTTCCAGCCGGCATGTCGTGCTGGGGGTGTCCCCTCTGCCCATGGCATTGCTCGGAGGTGTCGGGCAAACCCCAACACACAGCTTGGGCTGGAGGAGGGCAGGCAAAGGGATGTGGGGCGGGGGAAGACGCGACTGTTTGATAAATCAGGGCTCCCGAGGAAGGAAATGCGTCACTTGGAAAGAGCCACCCGGGACAAAGCCACCCCTGGGGTCAACAGGCATGAACGGGGTGGCTGCAGCAGGGCTGTGCCAGCCTTCCAACGGGCACACCTCTCTCTGGGCAGTCGCTGGAGCAGAGGAGGGCGGCTAAGAGCAATTTTTCTTTCCATCAAATTATCTGTAAAACCCAGGTATGACTCATCCAGGCCCAGCCTTTAGGCTGCCCCAGCCCTCCCGCAGTGCACCGGCAAATCCACGCAGGACGTCCCACTGCGTCCCTTCACCCCTCTCCCCCCTGCCATCCCCAGGGACCAGCAGCCCACCCTGCGCAGACCACATCTCCCCGGGGAGGATCCCACACGGTGTGGCTGCTCGCAGAGCTGGGGAGGGAAGGTCCCTTTGCTCACCAAACAGCCTGCCCAAACCCCCCCTGCGAACGGCGACGCTCCAAAAATAAACCAGCACCCCGCCGCCTTTCAAGACACAAAGCAGCCCTGCCGCTGCCCCCCAGCTCTGCCAAGGGCTGACACACACACCCCCCAGTTTATCGCGTGTCTCAGCACCAGTCTTTGCTGTCCGAAAACCTGCTGCCACGCCGGGGCTTCACAGCACCATGGTGGGGATGTGATGGGCCAGGGAGGCAGGATGGGGCACGGGCAGGGCCGGCGAGTGAGCCTGCAGGGAGGCGTTGGGGGGCCGGTGGCGGGCGCTTTTCTGGTGTGCCCGCAGCCCGGCGAGCTGGGAGTAGGCACTTTGGCAAACCTGGCACTTGTAGGGACGCTCGCCGGTGTGCAAGCGGACGTGGTTGCGGAGGGTGGAGGACTGGCTGAAGCGGCGGTTGCAGAAGCGGCACACGAAGGGCTTGTCCAGGGTGTGGATGCGCATGTGGGAGCGCAGGTTGCTGCGGGAGTTGAAGCCCCGGTGGCAGATGACGCAGCGCATGCGGCCCGTCGTGCTGGCCCCCGTCTCCACCGCGTGGAAATCCTCTGGGGACAGCAGGCGAGACGGTCAGGCGCTGCCCTCCAGCACGGCAGCTCGCCCCCTCCCCTCCAACCCACCAAAATTACCAGCCCGTGCCCCCTTCGCTGGCTCCCTGCCCGCTGAGCAGAGACACCCATCCTGGGCAGGGCAGGGCCGCAAGGTTGGCACTTGGGGCTTTGGGATAGAGCCAGAGCTTGGGAACGGGTTCACCCAAGTTGAAGTGAGAGGAAAAATTCAAGCTGACCCGTCCCCCTCATAGATGGGCACAAAAACTACTTTTCTTTTCCCCTCCCTCGGCTGTCAGCAGAGCTGGAGGGGGTGAGCTCAGGAGCCTCCAGCCTGGGTTCTTCAGCAGCAGCACGCTGCTCCTGTGTCGGTCCCAGTTTCTCCCCTTGTCCCACTGGGCTCTGATTCGGCTCGCTCAGAGGTTCATGGTTGGGGAGCTCCAAGCTCCTCATCCCCAAAAGTGCCCCAGAGCTCTGCTCCCTGCCTGCAGAGGAATGCCTTAGGGAACCACCAAGATAAATAGAGTGAAAGCCCAGGGAGAGAAAAGCCTCCTGCGATAGTGGTTTGGGGAAAGATCTGTTAAATTCAGAGGTGGCACGTAGGCAGCTGCACCCACTCGGTGTTTTGCAGTGTGCTGGGGCTGCCTGCCTCCCGCTCACACGCCTGCCCTGGTCCTCCCTGCCCGGCTGTGTCAGGCAACAGCTGCTGGCCACCGCACCAGCCACAGCCGTGGGCAAACCGGCACGGAGGCAAACCCCCAAATTACTGGGGACCTGCTCAAGCTGTATGGATCTGTCTCATAGTCCCAGGGCTTGTCCCCAGAGAACTGGGGGGGATCTGACATATCTCCTGGGATGTCAGTGCCCCATGCCTACCCTCTGGCCTCAGAGCTGGGGGTAAGATGAATGAAGAACAGGCAGCTGCACCCATGGCTGTTTCTGATGTTACTTACCATGTTTGTTCTTCTTCTGCTCCTCTTCCAGCCCTGGCACACCCGGGATGCCCAGGAAAGTGTTGTGGGAGTTCCCGTACCAGACCAGCAGCTCTTGGTCCGGAGGAATCATCTAGAGAGAGATGGGGGTGTCAGAAGGGGCGATGAACAGCTCCCCGGGCATCCTCGGCTGGTCACTTTGGGCCCACCCTGGCCATACCCCATCTCCTGCGAGACCCTGCTGCCCTCTGGGACCTGCCAGTGGTCCCCAGCACCCCCCAGGCAGGCCCGGCCCGGCCAGGCTGCAGCGCTGGAGGCGATGGCACGGCTCAGCACCATCCACCACCGGCACAAACCTGCACTGGGGCCTCCCCCCGGCTCGGCCACAAACAATGTGACAGGCAAAAAAGCAGCTACAGAGCACACAGACAGAGCTGGGGTCGCTGGAGTGAAGGACTCAGAGGTCCCTGAAGCTTGGGGAGATGAGGACACGGCGGCACACAGAGAAACAAGCCATTTGTGGACCCACGGACTGCAGCGGGGCACAAGTGACTGAAACCAAAGCAGGGAGCCGTGACACGGAACCCCAGCTCAGTGCCCCTGCAGAGCGTTTCGGCTCCTGAGAGAGGCATCGGCACCCTCCTGCTGTAGGGCACAGGCAGCATCTCCCACCCAACCCCGCGGGGGCTGATTTGAGCTGGTGGAAATGCAGGTGCACCAGCAAAGGGTTCGTCAGTCGGGGCATAGGGGAGCTCAGGGGCTTCTATAAGGCAGCGTGGCTCGGGTGTGAGATGCTGCCTACGTCCCGCACCAAAGGCCCATAATTGATCTATAGGGCCAGGGAAGGGCTTTTGCACCACCCACACTCCTGTTTCCCTGAAACGATGGCACTTCTTCCCCAGTTGTTCCCATTATGTTCCTGCACTGCCAGGGCGGCCGGAGCGAGCAGCTGGGAAACGCTGTTCAAGCCTCTCTGCACACAGCAGCCGTAGCTGGGAAGACGGTTGCCCTTACTGCTGTTCAAGCAACACTAACAACTTCATAAAAAATATGCAGATTTTTTTTCCTTTCAGGTCCCTAGTGCTAAGAATTTAGAAATGAGAAAGTCCCCTGTTTCAGAGGATGGCTTCTCATACACAGAGGAATCCCAGAAAAGCATCATCCACGTGAAACACAGATCATAAATTAGATCACTGAGCACTGAAAACGTGCCTAATTTTAAGCACCTGAAAGCAGTGATAATTTTGACTTAGAATTTTTAAATATCCATCTGCATAAAGACCTCACTGGGGCTGCAGAGTAGGAATTTGGAAGACAGGAGAAGATGGTATCGTTTTGCATCCCAAATTGGTGCTGTTTCTCTGTGCCATTTTCTTTTAGCAGAAAATTAGTTACTTTTAATACAAACAAATAGAATAAAATACTGCCCAAAGGTTGAAACACATTGCATGCATGCATATGTGTGTGTGCACATGTTTAAATTCTGCTGCAGCTGGTGCACCTATGCCAGCAGGTGAGCACTCATGTGCATACACCCTAAAAAAATTTTAAATTGCCCCCCAGGAATCTCACAGCCTTCAAATCAAAGGCCAAAACTCAATGCCCTCACTTTATTTTCCGTCAATGGCAACTTCTAATTGTCGAGGATGAGAAAAACAAACTAGCAAGTAAGGGCAGGAATGGGCAAAACACATGAAAATATTATAGGCAAGTGTTGAAAAAGGCACCCAATAAATCTGATTTTGTGGTGGGTAGGTGAGAAAGGCATCCTAAGAGGTAATTGCGCTGGCGTCTCAGTGCAGCAGAGGTGGGTGCAGAGCGGCAGGGGGTGCAGCGGGCACAGGGTGAGGGGCTGTGCAGGGGGGCAGGAGGTGGGGGACCCCCCCCCAGCTGGTAGGGGATGGCGGGTGACAGTGCCCATGCACGGACACGTGCTGCTGAGAGAGGGCACCGCTAAGGGCAGGTCGGTGTTGGCGTACCCTGCCCGGGCCTGAGCTGTGGCAGCTCATCTCCGGCCGATGCTGCGCTCTCGGTCCAGGATTTGTGGCGAGGGAGGCGACAAGGCAGGAGGGGCGGGTGACAAGCGGGGAGCTCGCTGGGGCCTGAGGTGCTGCATTCATGTGCCTGTGACTCCTGCGCTACGGGATTAACGAGCAGAGAGAGAAGCGCAAAAGGAAAATCCCCTCTTGCTTTCCCTTTCCTTGCTGGGCGCACAAACTCCAGGGATCGGTTTTGGACCGCGTGTGCGTGAGCATGCACGCGTGTTGCACAGGTGGGAATGGGGAGCCCACGGAAGATGCAGATCCTCAAGCTGTCATGCCCGGTTGTGACCCAGCTCCTCACACACTCCCTGCTTCCCTTCCTCGCGCTATCGCACGGAAAGCCCCAGCCCCTTCTGCTCCTCCCGGCACGGAGGGTCCCACACCGACCCGGCGGCGGCAGGAGCAGGAGCTTTGCCGGGCGCCTGCCATGCCCGGGGAGCACGCTGCAGCATGACAGCGGGCACCCCTGATCCCCACTTTCACCTCCCTGCCGCTCGGGGTTCAGCGCTCTCAACATTTCAACTTCGCTGCTTGTGCCAAGTGGAATTAAACTCATCCTGCCCTGGTGCTCACAGCTTCTGCCGTAACTGTACGGGTCCCCTACATGCACCTCCCCAAATATCGGCTCAGCTGCCCCATCATCTGGGCACGCACAGGTTGAGAGAAGCACGGCTGTATTCCTAATTACACCACAGCTACATGGAATTATTTTACTACTTTGAATAATTTAAGAACAGTAATAAAAAGCAATTAAGCTGCTGTCACAACAGGCATAGCTACCCACAAGAATAGCAGGTCTTAAAACCAGGTGCAGCTGAAGCCCACGGAGGGGTGTTCAGGGTGGGGAGAGCAGCAGAGAAACACTTGGGGCTCTTGCAGCATTGCGTGGGGAAAGGTGGCAGAGCCCGAGAGGCACACGGGACTCTCCCGCAGCAGTAGAAAATACCTGTTCTCTTCCTACCCACCCACTGGCCTTTCCCATCCCACTGTGGTGATTCCAAACCCAGCCCCAATGCTGGCTCAGCGCAGGATCAAGCCATGGTCCTGTGCCATGGAGCTCTTGAGCATCTGCTCCTCTGCAAAGCAGTGCAGGAGCCCAGATAAATCCGGGGTGCTGCCCCTGCCCACGGGACCAGCAGCACTCGAACCCTTTCCCAGCTGAGACCCTCTCCCAGCTGTGAGCAGTACGGGAGCCCGCGCTCCCGAGCGTGCCAGACTTTGGCCCCGGTACTGGAGAGAGGGACCGTCCCACCGTGCTGCTCTGGGATGGAATGGGAGATGTTCCCTCTTGTGCCTCTAAGCCGAAGCAGATGCCCACGGCCACCCCCCCCTCCAAGCTGCCGCCTTCCTCCACCTGCAACAGCATCGGGTTATGGGGACACTGTGCCCAAGCAGGGCTGGTCCCCACCGTCACACCGCCAGCACCGTGTGACTCGTGTGTACGTGGCACCAATAATGCCAGGGAGCCAGACACCCACCTCCATCCCGGCATCTCCCACGGGCAGCTGTGGGTACGTCCAGCCTTCACCCCCCAGCACGGCAGCCTGTGCCCTGGGACATCCCCGGGACCCAGTGCCTGCCCCTGCTCCCCCCGCCGGGCCAGCACCCACCAGCACTGCAGATGGGAGCATAGGGATGAGCCGGGCAGGATGAGTCCCTTCCCCACAGCCCCACCACAGGAAGCTGGAGGCATGGCTGTACCAGCACCACACCCTGCCCGGCTCCTGCAGCCCCCCTCCTCCTCTCAAGCTATTTACAGCCAGAGCTGCCTGTGACCCCCAGCCAAAAGCTGTGCAGAGTCACTCACAGCCTGATCTCTGCACCTGGGTTTCACAGAAACCCCAAAATTTTCCCCTCTACGCAGAAGCAGGTTCTGCACAAAATCCCGTTTTTCAAGAGAGCAAACCCATGCTCCTGCCCAGGCTAGGACTGCAGCTCTTTTCACGCTTTACACCCCAAAACAAGCTTGGGCAGCATTTGCTCTCCCTCTGCACAGCACACGTCGCCCATGAGCCCACTGGAAGGGGACAGAGAGGAGAAGGGGCACTCGCTGCTCCTTGGGCTCTCCCTGAACCCCTCTCCATGGCCTTTCCCAGGGGACCTGGGTGCCAGGGATGACAAAGCCACTCACAGATGTCCCAGCAACAGCCCAAAGAACAAGGGAATGTCCATAGGGTGGGGGGTTCTCAGCACCCTGCTGCCCCCCAGCCCCGCTTACCTCAATGGCCTTGTAGAAGATGCTGTTCCCGATCTGGACCACCTCCAGGTTCTGCTCCTGCTCATTCCGCGCGCATTTGATGTAGGTCATCCAGCTGCGGTGGTCCTCCTGGCTGGCATCGATGAAGTACCGCACCGTGCCGTCTTCGTTGAAGACCTGCGACGGGGGTAAAAGCGGTTGGTAGCGATGCTGCCTGCAACGGACTGAGCCCTTCCACCTCCTGCCTCTGGGGTAAAGTCCCTGGCCGCCGGGGACAAGCTTGAAGCCAGCGTGGCCTCGGGGCTGAGCCCCTGCTGCAGCCAGGAGATGCCCAAATCCTTCCTGCTCGTGGTGCTGGGCTGCGGCGGGGCTGAAGGGTGCCCTGCTCCGGCTGGGCAGACACAGCTGGTCCCGCCGGCCCATGCCCACCCGGGTAACACAGCTCCCACTCTCAACCCCCCTTCTTGACAGAGCCCTGCCAGCAGTTTGGCCCTCAAAGGGGATTTTCAGCATCTTGCAGCTGCCCTGGGTGGAGGGGGAAGGTGCCTTCCTCGGGGAAGGATGTTTTGCAGGGCGGCAAGAGAGGTAAGGCAAGCTTCTCTTGAATAAAATCATAATAATAATTAAAAAGTACAAGTCTGACACTCACTGAAACAAAAATAAAAAAGATGAAAACACCCTCAAGCACCTTCTACTCGCTGGGCATTAATGCGTGATGTCTTGGCAACTCAGATCCCCCCTCAGTTCTCGTGGCTTCTCTTGGGGGTAACCACAGTGGGGCTGGGACAAAGCGGGGGACGGGGCAGAGCGGGTTTCACCCGCCACGCAGGGAGCTGCTGGCCGGGAAGGGCAGGGCAGGGCGTGATCCTGCTCTGTGGGACACGAGCAACAGCATTTTGGGGCTCCCCCAGGAGCTGGCTGCACCCCAAGGGCGGAGGGAGCCTGGCTCTTCTCCTGCCCCAAGGGTCTCCTAAACCCACTTGCCCTGGAGGAAGCCAGATCTTTGAATGAATGGGGAAACTGAGGCACGGGGAGGGTGCCTGACGGCCAGTTCCTGCCAGAGCTGGGGGGACAGGGAGGGGTGGAAGGGAGGGGGGGGGGTGTCATTACCTCCCACATGAGGTTGTTGTTCTTGCACAGGTCCACATGCTCCGGCGAGATGACCCTGCCCGTGAACGGTCCCATCTCGGTGCCGGCCTTGATCCAGGTCTTGGAGAAGATGCCGAGCCCTTCCCCGGGGATGGAGCTCTGGGCGATGATCACTTCCGACGGCAGCACCAGGCTGGACAGCTTCTGCACCTCTGCGGGCGGCGGGAGAGGGCTCGGAAAAGGGACCCCGGGGGTTTTCGGCCCGTTCCCGCTCCCACCCCGCCGCGGGGAAGGGCCCGGGAGCCCGGGGAGGGGGGCAGCGGGGAGCCCTCCCCGGCCCCAGCCCCAAATCCCGGGTCTGAGCCTTTTAAACGCCCAACCGGGCTCCTACAAAGCGGTACAAGGTTCCCCCCGGGGCATTGAGGAGGTACCTGGGAAAAGCAACCCGGGCCGGGCGAGGGAGCGGGACTGAGAAAAGGGGTTAAATGGTGTCTATTTCGGCCCATCCAGCAATTTGTCATGCTGTTAAAGTGATCTGCATTCATTAAACTCAACTAGAAAGAAATTGCTAATTCTAAATTCATTAGTCCTTTAGGAATGCTGTAGCGGTACATTGTGCCTGAATGGCGCAAGGGCTTGTTTAAAAGGGCCCAGGAATTCCTCTTACAAAATGGGGAGATGAGATGGTTGACATATCGTGAATGGAAATGGAATTAGCCTTCATGGTAAATTAAGAGAGGAACAGAAATCCGCGAGGGGGAAAAGGGAGCCGGGACGCCCCAGCGATGCCGGGGCGAGAGAAAAGATATTGTCCCGGGCGGCTGAATGCGGGGCGGCCCCGGCCCCCCCCCCGGCCCCCTCCCCAGCCCGCGGTTTAAGTGGGAACTTTCTCAGGTCAAGCCCAAGTTAACCAAATGAATTTAAAGCCCTTCTTCCCCAGTCAACTGCTATTACACGCCTGGGGAGAGCGGGGCGCCGGGAGCCGCACCCCGCCGCCGGGCACGGGGGGCCCGTCCCGGGGCCCGTGGGGGGTTCGGGGGGGGGGGGTGGGGGTGTGGAATTTTAAGGGAGGGATGGGGGGTGGGGTGCTGTGCCGGCACTCACCTCCGGAGAAAGACTGAGCCAGGACCTCGGCCGTGAAGGCGGTCTTGGGGCTGCTCTTCTCCTCGAAGAGCTGCTCGCCCAGGACGTTTCTCCAGCGGCCGTAGAGGAAGCTGTGCAGGATGTCGGAGGTGATCACCTCGGCCAGCGAGAGCCCCTGCGGCTTCAGCCCGGGCTTGAGCACCAGGGCCTCGGCGGGCAGCACCGAGCCCATCATCGGGGCGAGTTGGCGGCGGGCGGGCCGGGCTCGGCGGGGCGCGGGCGGCAGGCCGGGCTCCGTGCCGCTCGGCGGCTCCCGCCCGGCTATATATGAGCTTCATTGACCCTCCTAATTGGTTATTAATGACCTCCCTGACGTTGGCGGAGAGACTGGGGCTGCCGGAGCGAGGCGAGCCGTCGGAGCCCCCCCCCACGCCCACCCCCACCCCCCCACACACCCTCCCCCGCTTCTCTTTTCTTCCCTCCCCTCCCCGGGGGTGGGGTGGTGGGAGGGAGGGACACGGCGAGCACACACGCACATGCACACACATATGCACGCGTATACATATACACGCATATACGTGCGCACCGGCTCAGGCAAAGGCAAGCGCGGGCACCTGCCCCCGGGCAGGGTGAAAAAAAAAAGCAACAAAACCGGCAGAAATACCCACGCCGGGTCCCCGCGGACGGGGCGAATCCTCGGGCACGGTTTATCCTGGTCCCGTTCCCCGCCCGGCCTCCGCGCTCGTTTTGGGGTTGAAACGCGGCGCTTTGGGGTCGCTGCGCTCTACAACGAAATCGGTGGCCCCGAGGCCGCCAGCCCCCGCTGCTCGGCGGCGTTTGGCCCCCGTGGCCCCGGGGGAACGGGCTGGGGGTTCCCCTCGGGGTCCCGAATCGTCGCGGATCCCCGTTTCTCCTCCCCCCCACCCCCCCTATCCCCGGCCCAGCGGGTCGGTACCGGCGGCCCCGGGAAGAGCCGGCGCTGCCCCCCAAAACCCCGGAGAAGGTTCTCAAACACGGGGGGGGTGTGTGTGTTACACGGTCCCTGCTTGCACCCTTGGCCGGTCCCCGCTTGCACCCAGGGCCAGGCTCGCCCGGTTGCATCTTCCAGCCCGAGCGGTCCCCAAACGGGCATCCCCGTTGCATTCCCCAAGGGAAGGTGGGAAGGGCCGAGAAAGGTGCCCACGGGTGAAGGGGGCCGGAGTGGATCCCCCCACTTCCCCGCAATGGCAACCGTGTCCTGCCGCGTCCCCCCCCGGGCCGGACCCCCACCCCGAGGGAGGCTGCAGCATCTCTGGTCCTCTGCCGCCGCAGCATCCCCATCTCCGCACCCAAAAATATTCCCCGGCCAGCCACGGTGTCCACGCTACCCCCTGCCCCGCCGGAGCCCCTGGAGCCCCGCAGCCATCCTTGTCCCCCAGAAAGGTGGCACTAGAGCGGTCCCCCCAAATTCAGTGCTCCCCCTTCCCTCAGGGGCCCGCGGCTTTGCTGGCTCAGTAAAGGGTTAATCTTTCCTGGATTTAAACCCAATCCTGCTGTGTCGGAGCTTAGAGCCCTCTCCTTATCCTTGTTCTTTTGATTTTCATGGGGACGAGGGGCTGTAAAGGGCTGGGGGGGGGGGGGGGGGGGGGAGGGGGAAGGGGAGAAGAAGGATGGGCCCCCAAATTCCTCCGGCACTCCAAGTCCGGCTCCTGCCCTCCAAACCCCCGGGCGGCCCCGCTGGGTCCAAGTCGTGCCCGGCGCAGGAGCCGAGCACATCCAGACCCCTCCGATCCCCCCGCCCCGGTCCCCGGCTAGGTATTTTATAGGGTGAGCTTGTCGGGGTAGCTTTCCCTCTTGGCAGAGCTGCCTGGCGAAAGTGATGTTACAACCCAGATGCGATCGCTTATTCCTATCAACCCACTCAAGAAGAGGCGCAAATGTCAGGAATCAACCCAAACCTGCGGTTCCCGGGGGTGTTTGCCCCCAGAGAGGCAGCGCTGCCCTAGAGAGGGGAGGTTAATAACCTGCCAGGGTTTGTTTTGGGTTTTAATATGTGTAAAAATAAGTTTATTTTGTTTTTCTGGACTTGGGCTATAGGAGCCGTCAGCCGACGTAGCGGGTGAATATTTCAGCTTTGTTAAATATAACGCATCAGGTGGAAAGCTTCCACAACACGCGTCTTCCTCCGGCCGCCGGGGCAGCGATCCTCTCGGGTTGCTTCCCCCCTCCCCGGAAACACATCAACCCTCAAGTTATCCCGGGACAAAAAGAAGGAAAGGAAAAAAAAGAAAACAAAAAAAAAAAAAAAAAAGGGGGGGGGGAGGAAAAAAAGATGCTCTTAAAAACCCTGTGGCTGCCGTGCGGGCTGCGCTGCAGCTCCGGTCCCGGCTGCGGGGGGGTGCGGGGGGCTCGGAGGGGGGGTGATGGAAAAAGGTGGAAAAAAAAAAAAAATTCCTTCCATTTTCTGCGTGGTTTTAAATATCCTCAGCTGTTTCGCAAAGCTTCTTCTCGGTCCTAGGAAGGTGCTTTGGTGTGTGTGTGTGTGTCCCCCTTCCTCGTTTCTCTTTTTTAATATCGCAGCTATCCCTCCTTTTTAACATTTAAGAGGAAACAAGTTTAATATTCATGGCTGTTAATAGAGAAGGGCCATTATCGCCGCCCCATTGTTCTGAGCCCCGCACAATGCTGCTTGTATTTTCATGTGTATATTCCCAAAGTTCCTTCTGAGCGTTTAGTGAGCACTTTAATATTCATGGGTGTTAATAGAGAAGCCCTCAGTATATTGGCATATTGTTGGGAGGTGTACATATTGGTCTGACTTTGAATAGCCACAGTCCTCTTTTCTTTTGGTCTGTTTTGCAGGGTTGATGGGCCAGGAGTAAATGGGCATTTTTCCCCCCCGTCTCCCCCTTACAGAGAGAACATCTTTATTCCAGTCCCAGACTTTCTGGTTTCCCATTCAGGACCCTCAGAAATAATGTCAGGCAGAAGAAAAGTGGAGCAAATCAATCTTTCATGGTCTTTTTGAGACCAATTTGACATCCATGGACTCTTCTTTTCTTTCACAGCCTACAAGGGGATGGTCAGGATCTGGACAAGGTTGGGGTCTGATGAGGGGAGACATGGGATCATAATGCAGCAAAGAGAGAAAAGAAAAGCAAAACAAGAAAAGATTGCAGGGATGGGGTGATGGAGGAAAAATGAGGGTGAATGACAGTGCAAGAAAGGAGATTAGAGCCCAGCAGCTGCTTTTTGGGGGGCGGGGGGGAGGGGGGAGCTCTCTCCCCTCTTCCAGCCCTTCGCATGAATAGGATTTGAACAGAGCGGAGATTGATTTATAGTTATTGCAGTTGAACATTTATTGCTCTTAAAGAGTGGCGGGGAGAAAAGAGAGAAAAGGGGGTTGAAAAGCTCCTTTCTGTATTAAAGAGGTATCAAATGAAGACTGCTGAGATAATATACAGTGGCCAATGGGAATTTGATTTGCTTTAAAATTTAACTCTTGTGGGGCCGCCGCGGAGGGACGCGCCGGGGATGGAGCCGGCCCGGGCGCTGCCTCCGCGGGGCGCGTAGGGGCGCGGAGCCACCGCTGCCCCGGGCCGGTGGCAGCCGATATTCGTTTCTCTAACCCTGCAAACTGCCCGGCTTTACCGCAAAAATCGCCGGGCGGCTGCTGTGAGCGGCGGGGGAACGGCTGCAGCCGCGAAATTATTATTATTTATTCGTTATTACCATTTTTTTTTTTTTCCCCCTGAAAGTCGGGGGTGAAAGCAGACGGGATGCGGAGCTACGAAATAACCGGCGCAGGGAAGAGCTCTTTTCGGAGCTGAGTTTTTCTTGCCCTAAACCCGGAGGTTTCTCCTTCCCGGCAGCAGAAACGCGATCGCAGCCGAGTCCCCCCGGGCGCAGAAAGGAGCCCATTGTTCAATGGGGAGAAATACATTTTTAGCGGTGATTGAAAGCTCCCCTCTCGTTTGAACTCTAGAAGAAAGTCCCTGGCAGGGAAGAGCATCCCCCTCCCTCTGCCCCAACATCTGTTTGGAGCAATCCAGGCTCTAGGGCAGAGCCGGACTCTGCCCCCTCCCGAAGTCATTAAAAAGATATTAGTGGAGCTGAGAAAAGTCCAGCGCAGCCCCCGATCCGGTGTGGGGTGTGGGTCATTAAAGACGATTTTGGATTTGCCAACGCTAATACCGAGCGAAGGGACACACGAGGACTGAGCTGCAAAGCTCCCTGGCCACCCCCTGCACCCTGCCCGGGGTGCTGGGGTGCTGGGGTGCCGGGGGAATAGGCCAGGCCGAGCCCACCCCCTGCTTCGGGAGCCGGGGGGGGGGGGGGGGGGGGGGCAGGAGGGATCATTGCACCCCTGAGGGTGCTGGAGGAGCCGGGGCAAGGGGAGCTTGCTGCACCCCTGTGGGTGCTGGGACAAGGGGGACACGCTGTAGCCCTGTGGGTGCCAGGGCAGGGAGGCTCACTGCACCCCTGTGGGTGCTGGGGGAGCTGGGGCAAGGTGGGGGGGTCACTGCACCCCTGTGGGTGCTGGGACAAGGGGGGCTCGCTGCACCCCTGTGGGTGCTGGAGAGCCAGGATTGGGGAGGCTCGCTGCACCCCTGTGGGAGCTGGGGCAGGGGGGGCTCGCTGCACCCTTGTGGGTGCTGGGGCAGGGGGGTCTCGCTGCACCCCTGTGGGAGCTGGGGCAGGGGGGGCTCGCTGCACCCCTGTGGGTGCTGGGGCAGGGGGGGCTCGCTGCACCCCTGTGGGTGCTGGGGCAGGGGGGGCTCGCTGCACCCCTGTGGGAGCTGGGGCAGGGGGGGCTCGCTGCACCCCTGTGGGTGCTGGGACGACGGGGGCTTGCTGCACCCCTGTGGGTGCCAGGGGAGCCAGGCGCCTCCAAAGTTGCTAAATGTGTCATTTATTAAAGCATTCAGGGGGCTTTTCTTTGGCGTTTGCTTGCAAACTCACAAAGGCCGAGCTGCTGTTTGGGGGTCTTTTCTGATGGAAAAAGGGCTCGGAGACCCCCGGCACAAAAGAAATCCTGGCAGTGCTTTCAATGGCCGGGACTCAATGAGGGGGACCCTGCGCGCAGCGGGCGGGGGCGAGGGGCCGCCCGGTGCTGCCTGAAAGGCAGGCCTGAATGTAATGGGGAGATCTGCGTTTATTTGTTGGGATCACATTTAATTAGCTTAGTACAACCCTTGAAAGACAAAGGGACCTCAATCTGGATCCAATCTGAAGCTCGTTTGGAGAGCGAGGGCTCCTGGAAAAGTCAAAAGAGAGAAAGGAGAAAGAAAGGGGAGGC